CTCGTTCTGCGGGGCAGCGGCCATCCGCGAGTCTAGGGTGTCCGCAACGGCCCCGCCGCCACTGCGGCCCCGGTAACCGCCAGCCGGGAAGAGTATGGACAGAGCACCGGGCCGTAACGAAGCATATTAGATCCCACACCGCGGAGCTGGCAGAGCGCCAGGGAACCGCTCGTGCCAAGTTCCATCCAGACTCGGTGGGCTTGCTAACTGCGCAGCCAGTGCCAGGACCACTGCTGCCGCCTCCCAGCTACACAGCAACGCTGGCATCAGCCCTAATGCTGCGGAAAGGGAAGCCCACCACCCCACACAGCTACAATCTGGTATTAACTTTTTAACCCTTTCACACATTCAGAAATGAGCCACGGTCACTTGAGAATTGGGAGCTAGATCAATCTTTCAGATGCACAGACATCAGGGAAGCATGTCAGGCATGCTCACCTTCATCTGGCTTGCCACGAGGCATCCTGCCCATGGTGTAGAACTCCTTGTTTGGGCGTAGGTCAATATAATGAGCTATGCGATTAGACATAGCAAAAAAAGCAGAAATCATGCCTATGTCCCATGCATCTTCACGGTCAAAACCATGTTTCTCCAGCTTCTGGAAATGGTCTTCAGTGATGTTATCAGCTCGACATACTGCAAGCGCAAACTCCAGCATGGCCAGGTCCCGGTCACTCAGGTCAGCCAGTTTCCAGTTCACAATGACCTGTTGAAAGGCAGGTTACCATCAGATAAACACACTCCTCTATTTTACCATCCTTCCCATCTCGGGGATGGTGGCAGTTTTGCTGAGCAGACTAAGGAGGAGTTCTCGAAATAGGACCCAGCGCCACCAGGATGCTGCAGCTCCCCATCAGGAGTAAGTTCCTGCACAGACTAGACCAAAACAGCAAAGAATGTAGCAGCAGGATGAATGCTCTGCAGGTCAACCATTCTTCCCCACATCCTGCTTGGAAGGTGGGTGAGGATACACAGATCCCCACCTCGAGGGCCTGCCCCACTGACGGCTGGCCTGACTGCTCACTAATAGCCCCTGGCAGCCAGATATTGAGTTAAGGCCCCAGACATGTCAAAATTGCTCCAGACTGCTGGGAACCACATAGATCAAAGGTTCAAAATACAGATTAAAGATCAAAACTTCAGGTGAGAAAGCAGATACATGAGAGGACCATTCCCACCTCCCAAGGGACCACACGAAAGAGGTGGGGTGCACGCTGTTGTAACCCCACTGACCTGGTCAGCCAGTGCTGGCTGCTTGGAATATATCCGATGAAGTGCTCCATGTGCAACCACGCAGTAGGGACATCTATTCACAACACTCGTAGCCACAATTATAAGCTCTTTGTCTGCCTTGCTCAGTCGCCCTACAGGGACAGCGAGAGATTTGGCACACTCCGAGATTTGGCACACTCCGCTGTTAAAGGTCTCCACCACAGCAAATACCACTGGGGAATCAGTGAGGGGAGGGCTCCAGGTGCAAGCTGCCTGCAGTACAAGCCCAGCAGACAGACCTCTGGAGAACATGCAGGAAGACACTGTAACCAAAGCTCCTAGGTGACAAGACAAGGGGCAATGGTTTTAAACTGAAAGATGGTAGGTTTAGATTGGACATGTTTTACGATGAGAATGGTGAGACACAGGGATAGGTTGTCCAGAGAAGATCTGGGTGCCCCATCCCTGAAGTGTTCAAGGCTAGGTTGGACAGGGTTTTGAGCATCCTGATCAAGTGAAAGATGTCCTTGCCCATGGCTGAGGGGGGTGAGGACTAGCGGATCTTTAAACGTCCCTTCCATGCTGTGATTCTATGACCATGTGAACAATTTATCTGGATAGTTGCTCACAAGGCACCTAACTAGGATGAGGGACAGGAAATTTGGTCAACATGAAAACAACAAATCTACGTAACAGGAAAACTCAAGACGAGCAAAATTACTTACTCACCAGGTTGAAAGCTCAGCTGGTACTTCACCATGTATGTCTCAGATCAAATGACTAGGGATGGTAGTGTCTGTTCTCCCTCTGATGCTTTACTGCTGCTTTTACAGAAAAGTGCAGGGTTCTAAAACCCACTAAGCAGGTTTCAGGCAAGTATTATTGGCAGCTTTTGAAGACAAAGCAAAAAAACTGAAGGAACAGTGAGATACCCTAGGACTGGGGCTTTAAAAACTTCTAGAGACCACCTGACAAACCACAACTCTTACAGAATGTCTAGCCCTGTAACTGCTCTGACGAAGCTGTGGAAAAGAATGCTGTGCTTTGTTATACTCAGAATCAATCCTCGTAATTTTCACAGCTTCACAACAGGACTGTGCAAAGGATCTGAGGAACTTACCTGTCTGTGTATCAGCACTCTCTGTCTTTTTTTTTAATTAACTAGCAGCATTTTTTTTTCCAAACTAAACCTCACAGGGATGGTCAGAGTCCCTCCTCCTCCCCACAAAAGCTATTGCCTTACTGGACTTTGGAGATATTTCCATAAAACCAGTGTCTACTAAGAGCATGACAGACACTACTAAAGCCTCCTGGGTAAAGAGGATTCAGGAGAAGTCGTCTTGCTCAGATTCAGTGCCAAAGACAGCAATGCCTTGATACTGCTGGAGAGATGCTGAGGAGGGTGGGATCCAAAACAGTCCTACTCTTAAAGTCAAAAAGGAAGCATGGGAACAAGAAAAGAAAAACAGTCCGTCATATAGCTAGAAGCATGGCTTCACTTCAGCAGCACAAGCAGAGCAGAGAGCTTCACACAGAGACTGCATGTGAGAGAGGCACGAGACTGTATTCCTTACTGCCTCCAGGTCTCACCAAGACATTCCTCCCAAGTCCTTGTCTCCCACAAGCAGGACAAGCAGTCTGCACATGCCAGCTTGTTTCACAAAATTCTAGTTTCACTAATGTACCTTTAGAGCAAAAGCAATGAGAACAGGCCCCTTGGTGCCCTGTACCATGGGAAGCATGAGGAACAGGCAGCCCTCAGACTGTTTCCTCAAACGCTGCAGAGCCGTGCAGAGTTCCCTACAGCCCTACCCAATGGCACTGCTACAGCCAGCCCTCTATCTCTGCATCAGGGCACTCAGAGGCTGCCTACTGCATGGGCATCCAAGTGCACAGCTGGCATCTCAGTCCAATCCCTGCTGCCACAGGGTACAGACACCCCAGGTTCAAAGTTCACAGCACACCAGGCCTCAGAGGGCACAGCCTTCTTCATACAAATTTTGCACACTGCTTGCAGGCAGTGCTTTGCCAAAAATTGTTGTGAAGGAAGGGCTGCAGGCAGGTTCAGCAAGGACCAGCCCCTCCCTTGGAAGCTGTTTTATGCTGGGCCCTTCGCCAAGACTGCGTCTGAGACAGTCTGCAGCTGCAATGCCTGACTGCATAACCCTGCTGGTCTGGAACCTGGCTGACCCCCAGGATGAATTTCTGGCTTGGTCTTGGATCTGCCTCTTCCCCGGGAAATCAAGACTCCTGGCTGGCCCTGTGGTAGTATGGAGCTGCAGCCTTCCCATGAAAGCACTGCCTCTCCCTGGCCTTCCAGCACACTTAGCTTTCGGCTAGGCTACGATAACCTTCCCTTAGGCAGCAGCCTGTCCTTTCTTTGTCATGCCACACCGCACAGTGCAGCAAGGCAGTACCGCTTGGCTCAAGAGCTGCTTTCTAACCACAAGCTGCAGAGAATAAGGCTGTATGCAATATGAGTGACACCAGAAGCAGCTGTGCAGTTCCAGCCTCTGACAGCTGTTATTATGGGCTTGGAGAAGGCATGGTGAAGCAATATATCTGATGATGTCAAAAATGTAATTTCTAGCAACTTCTTGCATCTAGAGAGGGAAGGGCAGCTTTGAGGTGGTTGTATGGTTTACCTGTGTCTTTGTTCATAATTGCATTGTAATAAGCAAAAAAAGCTCTGAATTCAGCGGGTCGGTGAGACATGGCTTTGAACACATTGGGCAGAAATCCAGTCTGTTGAAGGAAAAAGAAAAACAAGTCAACAACTGTAACTTAACGCAGAGCCCAGAGGGTGACACTGACATACTAGCCTTAAAGAACAATTGGTTAGTACAGCAGTGCTGGGGAATTTTTGCTGACCCATTATCTCAACCTTTGAGCCCCTATACACATATGTCTGAACATGTAATGGTGTGGTTCTGTGCTGGTTTTCATCAGGACAGTTAATTTTCTTCACAGTAGCTGGTATGAAGCTCTGGGTTTTTTTTGATCTGCCCTGAGAATAGTACTGATAAGGTGGGTGTTTTTAGTCAGGGTCTTTTCCAGCTTCTGACAATGCACCTCTATTCCCAACTTTCTCATTACAAGC